CCCTCCTTCGGTCTCTATCCAGACTCAGGAGCACGGAAGGAGAGCAGAAATCCATGGCAGTTTCTGTGCTGCTTGCTTCAAGCAGCCATAGGAATACGGCAAGCCTTGTGCCCATTATCTCCCCCATCGGTCTCTCCCTGTGGCCTCTTCAGGTTCGATTTATTTAAATGGGAGGCGGATGGAGCTTTGTTTGCGGCACACCGTGTCACAGGTCTAGCGGTGTTTTGTTGCAGAGCAGCTTAGATCGCCTTTGGGGCACTTGAGCAAATGAGATGTTTGCCTCCTGGTCACTCACCGGCAGGAAATGGCTGATCCAGCACTAGTCGCTGCTGTCAAAAATCATGCCAATAAAAACAGAGGAGTAAGGTAGCTGGTTGAAAATAGAGAAAGGCCCAAGTGAGCAGCTGGATCTATATGTCATGTGAGCCTCCATCACTGCAGTGGGACTACACAGATGCCAGATGATGCTAAGCAAAGCCCTCTGGCCATAAAACACAAGGCTATAGAGGTGTTTTTCACCAGCTTCTGATGCTCAGCCCGCTTCAGTTTTTTCCTCTTGTAAGTCTCTGAATTAGTCTCTACACAGGCAGCAGAAGTACATTTCTTTGGCCAGAAACTTGTGGCTTTAATTGGCCTCAGTACTTAATTTCTTTCTTTCCAGGCTTGCAGCAGTTGCAATCACAGCAGGTCTGTCAAGTGTTTTCTGTCTGCTGAGGGACAGGCAGGTGAAGGGTTTGGCTCTCAATTCTTTTGGCTTGTCATTTTTATCAGGCTGTGTCCTCCCCCTTGGTCATTACAGGATAAGAAAGGCATTTTACTGTATTTTCTCAACCTTTAGCTTGTCCATCATTCCATGAGCAGGCTGCAGCAGAGAAAGAAAAGAGATAAACGGGGGGGGCTGGAGGGGAGGTTCAGGCCATTAGAGCCTCTCCGGAAAGGAGAGAGATGGAAGGTACAGCTGCTTTTGAGGGAGATGTTAGAAGGTCAGGAAGGTAGGGGTGTGTGTGTGTGTGTGTGTGTGATGACAGGGCTACGAGTCCAGGGAAAACAGAGCTGCAAAGTTTATGTAGGAACCCACGGGAGAAGGCTGTGGGTAACTGCCTCTTTTGCTTGTCTTTAAAGGCAGCTGTGAAAGGGGGTGGGGGAAACATCAAAGTACGGTGTAGACAGGGGAAGAAGAGGAAGTCTCCTGTGGGCTGGTGTGAGAAGGGCAGACAGACCATCTCTAGGGGTATTAAGGGATGCGGCTGTTGCCAGATGCGCCTGCAGAAGGAATCATAATCCACGTATACCACGCAAAACAAGAAGCTCCTAGCAGAGTCACAGAACAAGTCTCAGCTCTTGAAAGGAGAACTATGCAACCGGGCGCTTAGCACAGGGAGGACGGGGTTCAGGATGGGGGGGTTCAGCCACCAAAGCAGACCCCGCAGGGCGCGGCGCTGGGCAGCTGTGCCGCCGCCGGTCCTTGCCGCGCCTGC